CAAATTTCATAATTAGCGTTGCATGGTCTTCGGCGGCTACTGTATATGTATATAAATGCACCATACTGCAGTCTGTTTATCTGGTTCCTTTTGGGGCCCACCCGAATGCTTCCTTGCACCAAAACATAGAGACGGAAGCAGATCCGTAGATCACATGGCCGAAAAATTAATGAAAAAGTCAGCTTCATCGGCTGCAGCTTTATTTAGAAAGACGTTTAATAACCAATTTTCATGATTAAGGATTCCGGACCGGGGTCCGAAACGTCAAGAAAATAAAACCATTGTTTCAGTGGTCGCATCTCCCTCTTTTGAACCATTTTTCAGTCCATGCGCGCATATTCAGGCATCACATATTTTCTCAGTTCCTTTCAATTCCAGTCTAACTTTTCTACGAGTGAACGAGAGGATACAAGGACTACAAACTTATGTTTATTTGCACTCTTCTCCTTGGCTATCCATAGCCTTAGGAGTTGAATTTACAATCACTGCACCGTATAAGCCACATAACTGCTAAAGTACCTGTAATACAAGTGACTGCAGAATTCACTATTCGAGCTGCAGGTGGGTGGCCCTTATACCTGCGCGATGTGTTGATGTTTCAGTTGTCATTGGCCAACAGGACGAGTTTTCGCTGGGATGGTTTGTGTATGTTTTTTATGACTGTTTGCGGAATGCGCATTTTCAGCATAGGTTTTGCTTTTTAGATGTTTAGATGTTTATCTCTCAGTACCACTTAGTTTCGGTCTCCGTAGCGGTTCAAGTGAATCGAGTTGCGTTGACCGATTCCTAGGGCAACTGTGAACTTTGCCGCTGCATACATGCACACACAACCGTAGTTTGCTTTCTACGCGTAGCTGAAATTTCGCACCGCAGTCCTCTTGCCAAGCCGACGGACATGATATCGATCAAATCACGAGTTGTTCTCTTTTGGAAAACGATAAGAAAGCAGACATATAACGATTACTTTGTGTGACAGTCTAAACTATGAGTAATTGCGTTTCCGAGACGACAGCGGGCTGCTTCGTTGCTCAAAAAAGCGCCTTAGTAACGATATCGTCGCAGTAGCTTTTTTCACGAATCTTCTGCAAAACCCAGCTTCTTTTCTGTCATCGTTTTCTCAGACTCATGAAATGTGTGCATGACCAACTAAAGTATTTAGTGAATTCTACCGCCTCTTCGAAGGCATCCCAAAGAAAACTGAATTTACAGAAGTTTGACTGCACAGGCAACGTTGTATAGATAGCAAAGGCCTGTGTAATGTTTGTCAGCTTTAAATTTTGCCTGATGCTTCGTTAATGATGAATAGCCTTGTCCGTGGAGCGTTCGCGCCCAAACTGTATCATTTAAATAATTGAAAAATACGGTCCTGTTAGCTGGAATCGCACAACACTTAGCTAGTTTCAGTGTTGGCGTCACAAACAATTTGATTTAATACTGTTTATCATGTTAGTGGTGATTAATGTGTTCGCTCCCCCCTCCGCCCATATAACGGTTGATTAGCTCCTGCCCCCTATAATTGTTGCCTGTTTTTCGTGGACTCTTTTCTCGCTGCCGATGGACTCCCGTAAGAGCCAGGAAGCTCAGGACAAAAAAAGATTCAGTTCTCGACAACCCTTCTTTCTAATCCATGCCTTTAGATGTTTTATGCAAAATAATTAGTTGTTCTGGTAAGTCCTTTCCTTTTTACGCCTTTATCTTACACCGATATCTGGTGGAAGAGGCAGCTCACTGAGCACACGATAGCCAGGCTGAAAATGTATATCAGATTATTGGTAGGATTTGATAAATTGGATAATCTGCGTTTGCCCTGTCTTACCTGTACTGCACCCGCGTTGGTCCCTCAACCCACAATCATTCTCTACTTGAGCAGTTTCCAAATACATTACGTAGACCCAGATTAATGTCTAACGCGACAGGTGAACTCACGACGACTTTTGCTGTTTATCCGGGCATTGGTGACTTCCGTGTGGATTGATGTACAATGGGAAAAACTTGCCCAATGGGCATCCTGGGTCAAGGCACCTGGAACTGAGTTTTGGCGCAATGGCTGGTCATGTATTTTCCTCTATCAATCCCTAAAATTTGGCGCAAAGACACTTGTATTATGTGAGGTTCGTGTTCCCATGTCTTGCGCGGGTGGACGCGCCTAAACTTTTTGGCTTCGAAGTTTCAAGTCCCTAGGAACGCAACCGCGTCTCCGCCATGGTTACTTTCAGTGACTACTTTTCAGGCATGGAGACTTCTTCCTCGTGCTCTACTTTCTTCGTCTCTTGTCATAGATTCTCTTGGCGAGACGCATGGTTCCGTGCGCAGACGAGGTCAGCTGCGTCTTTGGCTCCAAGTCGCCGCCATAAAAGTGAACCCCGCCAAATACGAAAAGCTAATCCCACCACCCACTGGAGCCGCATCAGCCAACGTCGGTGGTAGGCCACGCCGAGGACGATGGAAATCATCTGCTCCTCAGGACGACTCGGAACCAGTGAAACAGTGAGTCTTCCTTGTAAATCCCTCTGTACAGGTTTACAGGTGTCTACCTGAACCTATTGTGCGAAATCCTAGTACTTTGTGTGTTGACCAGGGGGTGTAGTGACACGCTTATATGCGGGTTCGCGCTGCGCCTGTTTCCACCTCTGCTCTGTCCTGACATCGGGACCAGGTGATGGAGGATGAGGAAGTGCTGTAGATGCTGTGCAAGTCTTCTCTCACAATAAACTTACTCGCATGCAATTCACCGTTTCTGCTGCTGCCATGTTGTGGGCACATCGCCACTTGTGGTTCATTTGCCGTCATTAGCCGTCCCTATCCCAAACACAAGCGGCAACGACAGGGAATTTGAACTTGGGTCATTCAATTTAGGGAAGTGGGGACTACCACTAAGCTGAAAATAGTTATTTCCATCTATCCCTTTCTCCGCCACCTCTGCAGTATTGATTACCTGTCGCTATGTGGCTGTTATCGAGTGGGAGCACAGGGCGAGATGCAACGAGCATGTTTCTGTAATCAGGCCGCTTAATCTTCACTTTCACGGTACGTTCTTTATATGTAGACTGGGCTATAAGTTGAAAACTCTTGCTATCGCAGATAAATTACTAATTTCCGAAAGAAGTCTGCATGATATGCTGTTAAGTGGCCAAACTCAAGGTGTTTCACTTCGCCCCTTAAAATCCTCAGTGGACCAAAAAAGTATCCGGTCCGCACTCTAAGCTGTCATCATAGGTGACTAGACATAATGAAGGAGGCGAAATTAGGGGACCGGGGAACAGTTCTTCAAGGAATAGAGATGCTCTCTTGTATCAGTATATCATTCAAGTAAACTGCGCTGCTGTGATGTACCACCGGATACTGGAGTCCGATTTTTTGGTGTCCTTCTGTTTGGACTTCTGAACTGGCCGTCGCGCATACGTCTTTACTAAACCCGACTCGGGGCAATCCTTCTGGAAATGAAAATTTCGCAACTGCACGACGTAGCAGATATTTCCATTTAGAAGATGGTAAATCGTTATTTCCACTAAGGTCTATCTGTACTAGAATACATATAGTATACGCCTAATATTGAGTGTCATACAACACGCGCTTTGTAGAAAATTAAGCTTTGAAATTTCCTAAAACTGTACTTTTCAGTTAAAAAAGAATGGTTTCGAATCTCGGGTAATTTTGAACCTTACTGGTTATTGTCCTTGCGTTTGGCTTTTCCAATATGCAAACTCTACACATTTCAGTTAAGGAAAATCCCACGTCCTAAGCTATTATGAACGTCTCGCGTAAGTCTCATAGCATTTTGCAATGGTGGCGGACTTTGTAGTATACATCATAAGTGGAATTAATATATGGATAGATACAATGTCATTTAAGAAGACATTTCACGGTCATAATTACAGGTTTTTAAACCAAAATATTCCATTTCGGGGTAAAGCATCTGAAGAAGCGGTAAATTTGTACTCAGTCATACAATAAAGGACATTTTTGTGTATGTTTTCTATAATATATACATAAGGGCATTATAAATTTATGGAAAAATCCACACTACTCGAAGCATAATTTGATAGTTAGCGTGTTGTTTGTAGTTAGCCGGCAAGACCCCCGTTGCAAAGTGGGCACCTGGTGTGACCGAATTATCTTGGGAGTATGCTACATCGTAGTTAATATTACAAACCCATCTAAGTAATTCTTTCACGAGTTACGGCCTATCGGCCTACTATGTGTTCGAAATTCCAGGGTGTTTCATTTTTGACTCTATGAAACGCTGTCCACCACAGTAGTATCCTGATCCATGTAGATAAAAACCATATGCATGCATGCACGTACGTACTGTAACTAAAGCCAACTGCATCAACGGAACTAAACAGATTTTGCAAACCCGTTCTTCACAACCGCGAGGGCTGGCGGCAAACTTATATACCGTTTCTTCAGGCAACTATTGATTTTTGGGCGGCCGCCGTGTTAACTTCTATCACTCGTTTCTATACTGATCTAGCCAACTTCTTCCCAAACGTTTGACGTAACTGTTCACAGCTCTATCCCTGTCCAGTCCCATTGCCGGCGTCATATTTTTTCATACCGCCAAAGATGGGCGCTATTTGCGTAATATATTTCGGTCACGGTGCGTCTTTGCTTCTGCTTCCTGTTTCTTGCACACGTGGAGGGAGGGGGGAAGGGCATACTATGATGAGTCATTTTTGCGCTCGCGACGAATGCTAAGGGATCAAGACCTGACAGTTGTTGCAATTTAGCCCTTTCCCCTGATGCCGTCGTCTTCCCACTGGGTGTCCTTGTCTCTGCTTTCCTGCACCCCCTTAGCTTGCGCCTTCTTATCTCCCCTTAATGGACGTGGCGACGCCTGAAGTCACACCAACAGCTGATACTAGCACAGGTCAATAGGGCAAAAATGAACGTCGACTACTGCAGTCAAAACAAGTGTCCACTGTCCCAATCCATCTCCACGGTTGAGTCTCTCTATTTCCGCTAGCAGACCGCATTACCTTTATTGCTAACGGGTCAGGCCCCTCAATCAGTTGTAAGGTCCCCACTGTCTCACAGATTACTTCCGCCGGCTGTTCGAAAATTTTTTCTCATCCATTTTGGTGTACCGAAGAGTTGGCCGACGGCAGTCCTTGCAAGACAGGAGTCAGAGTCCTTCGCCAAGCCATTGATCTATAGATTTCGAGGATGACGATAGAATTATCTTGAATTTACGCTGATCTCGCGGTAACCATAAACAGCGACTGTATTTATTGGCAATCTGGAATTTTGACCAGATCTGAGTTCACTGTTCAAAGCCTATGGGCCATCAAACCGGACATTCACGGGTAGGTTAACCTAGCCTCCGGTGAGCCGATTGGTCACAGGTATTTTTAGTGCTGACTATGTAGCACTAATAAGTGGATGACAAGTAAGTAAAATTGCGAAAATTTAAAAATTGCTCGGGAATAAGGGTGACCCACTTTGAACATCTTTCAGGATACTAGTGCTCTTTTTGCCGCATTATTGTCTTCGACAACGAATAGAGGGCTCAGCTGTTCGAATTTCGTCTAGAGAAAATATTAATTCCGGAGTTATTTTCTCAGTTTCTCGAACCTTTCACATGCCTATCAGCGTCTTTCCATCTGGTTCTTCCCGAATATTCATAGTCTGACGATGAAAGAAACTAAACCGCTGGAAAGGACGCATATTCTCTAGGAAACTGGTAACTTTTTATAGATACACCTGGCGCAGTTGCCGCAGCTCCCTCTATCTTGCTTTCGGTAAATGTGTCACACAAAAGTAAGTAGCAGTCTTCACACTAGTGAGGGACCGTCTGTAACACTTGAATAACTGTGAAGTAGCTAGAGATGTTGAACTTTTCAACCAAAGCAGTCTCAGCCCTTCTTACTAACAGGATAGACATCTACTGATCGACAGTGCTGAAGAGTCTAATCGGTGCCGGTTTCTGCTGTTGTTCTGCCAGCGACTAACCTAGTCAAGGCAGACGGACCATGGCCATCCGTAACTTGCCAGACATCGGTTGTGCATGACTGCTTTAGGGGGAAGGGTTTCTCGTAGCTCGTGAACTGGAAAATAGACGCCGCAGTTCACCTCTCCAGCACAGGATCTTAGCGCTTCAAGCTTGTGCCAGGCAAAGAGTGTAGCTTTATTTGATGATGGCCGTCGATCACCATGTTCTAAAGTGCTTTGCCTTGTAAACGTTTTCTAAGTGAGAAGAGGATATTGGGGATAACACGCATTGTCGCTGACAGGAAAACATTCCGCAGTGCGTCTACCACCCTAATAATGATCATGAGTGCACGCTCTGAAGTTGTTACCCATCCACTGTCTAACTTCTTACCGTCTAATAGCCAGTCAGCCCTGAAATCTCTGAGGTGGCCATTACCTATTGATTCCTTTCTCCATCCTTTAAGGCGATTTTTGAGCCAGCTTGCACTTATCGAAAACATAACCCCTCCAAAAAATAATGGGGCTTGCATTGTGGTAAAATTCAGTTCCCTAGGTAAGTGCACAGCGCCACCATAGCCCTTAGTCAAAATTGTAACTGCTATGGTAACCTATGCCTCATTATTGTTCCTGAGGTTTTTTCTGCACTGTCGTTCATTTGGTCCGGAACGACTTGACAACATTTTGATCACCAGCATTTGTAAAATTGGACTTTTTAAATCTCAGAATCCTGCAGACGTCCCACGGAACTTCGTATTGGATCAATTTGGAAAGCATTCATCGAGTTCTTCAGTCACCTACACGCCGTTCACTGACTGCCAATGGCCGTAAACAGTCCTCAAAAGACCAATGCCCTAAACCCACAAGAAAAGGTCTGCATTGTTTCAACTTTTTCTGTGGATTCCGAAAGCGGCGATCCGACTGCGCCGCCGACCCGGTCCCCGTTTCACCCTCTCCACCGAAGGTTGCCAACGACTATAGACTGCCCTCCTACGTTCTACCTCTTTCAAACCCCAACGCGGAAACTGAAAACACAGCCACCGAAACTAACCCCGAGGAGGACGCCGAGCTCGAGCGCCTGCGCCGTGCCAAACTCACTCTCCTCGACGAAAAGTCAAATCAACTGTTTGCGTTGCTGGCTGACTCCTCCTCCGCCCTGCACGATGCCCTAGTGAAGTTCCTTGAACAAACCAGTGGAGTGCTGGTACTGGGCTGTCGTGCCGAAACCCCGCCCTTCGAGAACAACACAGCGAGCAATCAGTACATTCCCGCGTCATCACTTCAACCGACGG